GCAATGAAACTGGCTGCTTCTTCAATGTTGAGATATAATTGTGCCTCTGCTAACCAGTCATAATCCTGTGATAAATATACATCAGGTTGGAGTTGACTGACACATTCATAGATCAGCATCTACTCCTCTTGTGCTCTCTGATGTTGTTTCTGTTGTTTATCATCTTGTGAACTCTATAAATAAATAATAGTTATTCAACAATAAGAAATTAACATTAATAAAATAACAATGGTAATGTAGATGAAAATACACACGAAATTTAGAAACAATAAAACATACCTCTTCATCTCCTTAGTGGTCTCTGTTTGACTGAAGTGCTGCTGTAGCCTGAGTATATACTCCTAGGAACATTTCCAGACGGAAGGAAATCAGCAAAAGCCTCAGTGAAGGAGTTGAAGCCAGTCTTTAACTCATTAATGTCTCTGAATGGTTTGTGCTGCATCAGAGACTGACAGTAGTACTGTTCATAGTTGGGAACTGGCGAACAATATGATTTGGGAGTGACTATTGTTGGCTTATAACCAAACTAATATTTGTTAATAAACAATCTCTTTCAATAATAGGACTCAAAGAGTCGTTAATAGAACGATTAGAAGTGATAATGAGAGATGTCCAAACAAAACAGAAGAGAGAGAAGAGAGAGAGAGTGAGCATGAGTCAGACAACTGATAATTAATGTGCGCATGCGTGAAAATAATAATATGTAACCACAATATTATTAGTCTGTAATAATAATAATAATAATAATAATAATAATAGATACACAGTTTACCATTCACTACACTATCACTTCTTTACTCCTCATCTTTGGTTCATTACTTAACTCCTTCAGTACTGTGTACTGACAAATGAAATCCAATAGAGTGATTGAGTTGAACTGTGAAGTGGTTGGATGTGATGTATAGTGATTCAACACAGAATGAGCTGTCACCCTCTCTCCCTCGTGTGTATTGTTTTGAACTTCTCTAGAGCCATCAAGACTGAGGTTGATGAAACTCCTTGATGCTTTGTACAAGGGGAGTTGTAATAGGAGGTGACAGGTTTCTTGTGTTAAAAAGTCCCTATCTCCAAAGCAGTTGATGAGGAGCTTCTGGACAGCTTTGAGTGATCGATTACCTTCTTTCAAAGAACAAGCAATGTTGGTAAAAGTATCCCTCAAAGACTGTGACCTAGTCTCACTTTTGGTGACATACATGGTGCAGTACTGAACAACCCTGTTCCTTGATACAATGTACTGCATGTCCACATTAGCATGCCAGGATGTTATTTGAATGGGATTGAAGCTGTTAAGCATCCCATCATTACATGCAGTGAGAATTACAGGCTCCTCTTCAGTGATGTTGATGGTTGTTTGTGCCTTAAGATTTTTAGGAAATCCAAAACGAAACTCCTGCTTTCCATTACGTGTACGGAAACAGTAGGACTCTGAACAGCAAGTGTGTTGTTGGCATGTGGCTATTAGATCAGTCAAGTCTTCTTCAAAATCTGTTACTTCTGAGTATGGCTTGTTACAGATATGTGGATCAACTGTAGGGGGTGGAGCATCACTGAAATTACTGCCATCAGGAAGGACAGCAGGATTAATGGTAGAGATTATGTTGTCAGCATACTCAATGATCTGTTGTTTAGTTGACTCCACAAGATCAGGTTGTGATGATAAAAGGTGCTCGACATTAAGAGCATTGGGTAGCCAAGCTAGTCCATGTACATGAGGGACTACGATGTTGCCACTCAAACCTCATCCAGTAGTCTGTGGCTTTTAGAGTATGGATATAAAAAGCATCAAAAAACTTCAGAATTCTATAGTAGAAGAACCAGTCGGCTAAAGCAGAGTTATCAATAACAGCTTTCACATGAGCCTGCTAGATCTTCAGGACAAATGAGGTTGGCTAACTCTGGCCACTGGGGATCAGCAGCACTGTGAGTGAAGAAGATGGTGGACAGTCCCTGAGTGTCTATCATAGCAATGAGATGGTTCCTCTCTCTAAACCAGTACTGCCTGGTGCCACGTAGACTTGCCCCATAATGAACGACTTTATTTGAGAACCTTTCTCCTTCACAACTGATCATGTCACGAAGATCATCTACAGTAAGGTGAGCTTCACCAGGATGTTGTCTCTTGTAAACTTGACCTGTGGCATTAGCACGCCATCGTATTTCAGTGTGAAGAGCAAAGAAACGAAACCGAGGGAGCTTAGCGAATCTTCTATCATCATACTTCATAAGGTGAGTGAAGTAATGACCAGCTGTAATGCCATTCATTTGAGTACCATTGAAATAAGCAGCACCTAATACAATATGTCAATTTATCACGGCATAATTATACAGTCTTACCAGTAGGAAATAAAATAGGGAATGCCATTGAGAAGTATCCCTCAGTCTGGAACTCATTGATAGGAGTCCCTCCAATACTGGGCCACATGAGATAAGATGACTGTGGCTGTCCTAATGATTACGTTGCTTGCTCAATGGTTTCCCTCTCAGTAGCTGGTGGTGCAGAATTAGGTACAAATGATGACGAATACCCTTCTTCATCTTCAGTGGTGGTAGTGTCATTAGATGTTGTTCCGCTTTGAAACTCTACTGGCTGAAATGTACGGAGGTCAGAGAGGTCTCCATCCTCAGGTAGCTGGCCAATGTGTCCTGATCCAAACTAACTCCAATCTTCTGATAGTAGACATTATTGGCCATCAACCAAGTCAGAGATTCTTCGACGACTCTCCTGCGAACTTGAAAGTCCTTGTGTGTCCTCTCTTTTTCCTTCCAAACAACCACAATATTGATCTCAGCTGGCAGGCGGGGTAATCTGGTGGCAAAGGACTTGAAGTCTTGAGGAATGTTGATGACATGTCCACTATAGTCACACTGTCCATGGGGTAGCCTGTAAATGGACATAACTGGCGTAATAGCAGACACCAACATTTCCTCTGCTTGTGATAAATCCTAATATAATAAAAATAATAATACATGCATCAAAGTGACTTTGTATGTGGCTTTCTCATTGCCGTATAAACAGACCTCCCACTAACATACCACTAGTATCAAATTAATTATAAAAATGAATTAAATAACTATACCTGTAACTGGTGGTACTGGTCCTGGGTTTATGTTGTTTCCAGACGAGTAGAGCTTAGGAATGTGCTTGTCAGTAGCACACCTACAGCATTCATTGACTCCATTTGGCTGTCTGGAAACTGACATGTTTGGAAACTGTTCCAAACATGTTTCACAGGTCGAGAAAGTGAGAGATGAAATACTTTTATGAAATCCCACCATTTCTCTTAGATTGGTAGATTGAGACTCCTGATCGTCCCTTGATGTTCTGTCTCTTCTTGACTGAGACCTGCTTCTGTCAGCTGCTTTACGGTAGTCTCTATCAGCAGGTGTCTCTTGCTCTCTTCTTGACTGACACCTGCTTCTGTCAGCTGCTAGACGGTGGTCTCTAACAGCAGGAGTCTTGTTAGCTCTTCTTGATTGAGCCCTAGATCTCTCCTGACTGGCGTTTCGGTGAGCCATGTTTCTCAGTCTTCTTGCGGCTAGCCTAGCTTCTCTCTCCAGGAGTCTCAGCATCTCTGCGAGCTCTGTCCACGGCTCTTATAGGGGCTAGGCTAGCTTCACTCTTTTCAAAAGTCTCAGCATCTCTACGAGCTCTAGCTGCGACTCTGCAGCCATTCTCTGGCTGTAGAGCTCCCTACGACGACTCTTACGAGCTTCTTCTTCATTCATTTCCCTGACTTCACTGTAAAAATGCTGCCACGTGAAAAATTGCTGAATACTGGTTAATTTTTGTAGCAAGCATATGGCTTATATTGGCTTGTGTGCATGCACGTGAGCAAAATTATAGTAGAGTATTTAACATTAATAATAGTTAGAGAATCCTACTACCTGTACAAACAGACGTTTTCTCCCATTAGTGGGGCGAGCTCAGGCTCGCCTAAATTAGGATCACAAGGAATACAATGTAAAGTTTGGGTTCCAATTCTAGCCCAGCCAACAAAAGTAGCAGTAAAGCTGCATTCAGAATTCAAAAAGTAATCGTTTGTGCTTACTACTGCACTAATGCAAAACGTGTACACCTGCGGTTTCATGATTCATTATTATTATTGTCAACAAGTGGGTAGTCTCGTAGATCCTTTTAATTAACGGATACGGGTGTTGTAGACTTCACCTACAAACTAAAATGGAGTTGCTCGTTGACATGGAACTAGTGATTTTGTTGCTTTATTGAAGAAGACTGCGTAGAAAAAATTAAAGTGTGTGGGTCCATGACATTTTTTAATGATAGCACAATTATGGTGATAACCACAGTCTCGTTGAAGAGATGACACTTAATGACCCAGAAAGTTATTTCAGATACATTAGAATGTCCAAGGAGCGGTTTGATCATCTCCTAAACAAAGTTTGTACCATAAAATATTAGATGCTGGTTTCTATAGCAATTGTTATGTAAGATAAAGCCATTGATAGATCGTCATCATTATGACTCTTCTTCTCTTCCCAAAGTGAGCCCTGCTGAGAAACTGGCTGTGACACTCGGATACTTGGCAACAGGAGACTCTCAGGTATTTCTAATAATTGTACATTTACAACTATGGTTTGGAATATCTCAGGTTAGTATTTCGTTTAACTTTCGCCTTGGTCGTTCAACTGTGTGTTTAATTTTGAACGACACTTGTAATGCTATATGGGATGCTTTAAATTCAATATACTTAAATGCACCATCAACTGAAGAAAAATGGATTGAGATAAGTAAAGGGATTGAATCTATGTGGAATATTTCTAATTGTATAGGTACATCATTGGCCCAACAGTTGTGTATTCATTTATGTTAATGACATTTACTTATACTTACAGGTGCTATAGGTGGCAAACGTATAGTGATACAGGCACCCATGAATGCTGGATCTGCTTACTTCATAGATATTACACCCACAGGGATTGGAAACCGCCCACGCATTCTATAAATAGGCGTGAGCTATCCTTGTTTGCCGGGACACTTGAGCGG